CCCCCCCCCCGAATCCAAGCCTCTTTTCCATTGGAGCACATTAAAGTAGCAGGAAACCCAGCCTCCTTTTGAGACCTTATTAGCATGTGTTTGAGAAGGCTGTTGGTTAATTGCCCAATTCAAACTTCAGAGAGTTGTAAGTAATGAAAGTCTAGAATGTTTAATTGGGAGACTCATAGTATGATTATTTGTATAATATCAGTTAAGTGAGAAGAGTTTAATTTTTAATTATTTCAATTAATTTATTGCTGGGAGATTTACTTAGAGAATTTAAACCTTATCTGTTTCATCAATTAAGAATCAGAGATTCAAAGCCTGGATACTGAGAGGATCTGAATGAATCAGTGGAATTATGTAATGTATTAAGTCTTTTTTTTTTTGAGCTCTGAGAGAGCAGCTCATGCCCAAAAACCTAACTAGCTGCCTACAGATTTTTTTGTTCAGGATGTAGATGACCTATTTTTTAATTGCCTCAGCCCACATAATTGGCTACATCTTTCTCTGCTCGGAAGTACTGTAGTACTTGTGATCATTTTGGTATCACTGTTAAGTGCCCAAATCTCCAAAAAAATGTGTCATGGATAAAGCTTCTGTGACAGACACGTTCCCATTTTCAAAATGAACAATGACAGTGACATTCCCCAAGTCTGTTAGACTGAGTAATGATATTAGAAGGTCTTAAAGCTAGATTTTCATAAGTAGCCCAAACTTAAGTTATTCATCTGCTCTGGCTTGAATATAAAGCAGAATCATCACCAATGAGTTTCTTAAACATACTTAAATATGTACTATGCAAACCAAATCTTGTTAGTCTAATTTACTCCAGTAAATTAGCTATTTTATATGCAATAATTGTAGTTTTCTCTACACTCCCCACAATAATGAATTCTTCTACCCAAATTAAGAGGGAAACATCATGTTATGTGCATTTAAACCTCTCAAAACCACCATTGCTGATGAAACAGTTTACTGATATCATCGTTGTTGATTAGAATTTGTTAAGCATTACCTCTTGGATATATCTGAAGAGGCTCTATTAACTGTCCATTTACTTGCTGTTCCATTACAGTGGAGTAATACTGCAAAGAGATTAAAGAAAGAGATTACTCAGGAATGTATGAATAGCAGTAGAAGCACTTATGGATTGTTTAACTCAATGTTGGGGCTTTTTTTTTAAATTACCATAGCACATACCAGCCTTTAGAACATTTTCTTGAACCATTTGCATCGTTCACACAATCAAGTGGCCTGGGAGGAATGCAACCAAGGGGCTGTGACACCCAGCACAGCACTGACTCCAGCACAGGGATCTGTTACTGGCTCAGCTAAGCAAGTTTTGGGCCCACCTGAAAACCTGGGAATGCTTCAGAAGAGTGAGCAAATGAAACATTTACAGCAAACACAGCAGCTGCCACACCTGGAGAAGCCAGGAAAACCAGTCAAATGTGGAAACAAAGAAATGCTGTAAATATCATCCAAACCTGCACAATTAGGAAAACTCTGAGGGAGAAAAAGAGTCTGGAAACTATCCAAGAATTTGCAGTGATGAAGCACAGCCAGGGCAGTCAAGGCCACATCCCACATAAGCATTCCCTTAGCATACAAATTTAAAGCACAGTAGAGTATGAAAAGCAGCATTACTGGAAAGCCACTGCAGCCATCCTGACCTCGGGCTCCACAGGAGCTGCTGGGAGTGGTCTGGGGGACACACATATTAATTGATAAAGAAAAGCCAAAAATGGACAAAAAGGGATGCAAAAGTATCTAAGAACATCAAGCCCCAAGAAGACAGAAAATATGTGATGTGGTATGAGGGAGCCTGAGATGTGGTATGAAGATGAAGAGTGGCATTAAAAGAAAAAAATAAACGTTTGGATTAACTAAATTGAAACCTTTATTAGCCTTTTTTAATTGACCCTCACTCCTGAGGAGGGGCAAACACCCACCAGACAGGACATTTAACCTCACAACCAGACAGTCCTGGGACAGGAGGCAGCCCTTGCTACAAGTTCCCTGTTTGCAGCCCCCACACCTCTCACCACGACGTGTGAGGTACTGAAAGCACATCACAAAGCACCTTCCTTCTGCACTCACCCAACACCTTTGAAGCAAACGTGCTGGCTGTGGGCCAGATCTGCATGGCAGAAATCAGGGTAGCTGCACTGACTTTCATGCTAATTCTCACCAGCCAAGTGTGGTCTAAGACTCCAGCATGTCACTGTTGCCAGTGTTTTGTGATACTATTGCTCAAGTTGGCAAGAAGGGATGTCAGGAAAGAAAAAAAAAAAAATCTAAGTCTCTGTGGAACCATGTTCTTGACTCACACCAGTGGTTTCCCCACGATGAAAGCTTTTTTTACCTATCCAACTTAAAAAAGCCAAATGTTTATTAGCTACCTAATATTTTCTAACATTTTCTTTCCCTTCACAATGGGATTAAACACGTGAACTACAGTAACCAAACATTATATGGGCACCAAAGAATTTATGTGTGGAGATTTTCCAGTGCTTCTGTTTTTCAAGTTCCCATCAAGAAAGGCAAAGAAATTTCCTTTTTGTGAAAAACAAGTGTTATGCAGAGAAGCACTGAGGGTTGAAGGATCCATCCAGCCCCACCTCCTGTGTGTACATCCAGTGTGACACCTGCTGCTAGAAGCACTTCTTTCATTAAAACCCCACCACAATATTTTTGAGGGGGGAATCTCATTCATACTGGTGCACAAACATACGAATCCCCACCCTAACCAAGAGTGTAACACTTGCTTTCTCTGGACTTACACAGCTATTGGTCACAAAAACCTGCTCTTCTGAAATCATAGAGAGGTTTTCAGGAGTCAGGACGACCCATAGATTTACTTGGTATCAGGCTGGTCATGAATAACATGCCAAATCTTCTACCATGTCCCCATATCCCTTCATAAAACTGCGTCACTGGTACCTAATAGTTATGGAGCTGTGAAAATCTCCAGCTCCACTGGGGGCCAAAATTGCTTAAGAAAAACTAACTTTTTAATTACTGTTTCACTAGTGGCATTTTGTGACCTGAAAACATATATATACTCAATATAAACATACCTGACATACTCTCTAGAATAATAAACTAAAATAAACATACATGAGATGGTATTTTTTTTTTTGGTAGGAAACAGTGGGGGGGAGAGAGAGAGAGAGAAAAAACCATGGCCCTCTCCATTACTCAAGCAGTGATGACAAGTAAATGAAATATCAATCATGTAAGCTGTCAACCTTTTGGGACAGCAATAACTGTTAACAAGTAGTCTGGAAAAATTGTCTGAAAATGACTTGTCCTCCACACACGAGCATTTGAGGTTTCCATGGAAAATTAAGATGCCAGTGGCTATTTGGAACATTGCTCAGGTATTCTTTTTAATGGAAAATTTGCCAGTTATTGATCCAGAGCATGTACCCCCTTGCTTTCAGAAAGCTGCAAGCAACTTTCCAATCAGTGGCTGTCAAAAAAATTACTGCCTTTTTATACTGATACAAGACAACAGCCAAAGTGCAACTGTGCTGAGACTCCATGTCTGCCTTTAATTAACCACAATGCACAACAGAAATAGAATTTTAGTTACTGCTCCACAATATTTGCATGGGCATAATACAGTGTGTTTCTGCATACTCCAAAGTCATTCCAGAACGGCTTGAAATCACTTCAGAAAACAAAGAAGAGAAGAGCTTGTGCGTGACTCAAAACATCCTCCCCAACTATAGTGTCACACCTGCACCAAAGAGATCTGTATTTCCAGGCAATTATTTTTTTGCTCTTAAATGAATGAAAACCATTCACTTTTATTTTGGAGAACATCAGCAGAACTGGAGACAAACTGCACCGTGTCAAAATTCCTAGAAATATTACAACTGCTGTTCAATCCTCCAAGTATTTGTTGCAGGGCTCAAAATACTCAAAAATGAGTATTCTTCTTCACTAGTATAATCTTCAAGATTACTCTATGTTCATTGTACATACACTGAGGGCTGGAACATTTCTTCTAGGAGGACAGGCTGAGAGAGTTGGGGCTGTTCAGCCTGGGGAAGAGAAGGCTCTGGGGAGACCTTGCTGCCTTCAGTATCTCAAGGGGACCTACAAAAAACCTGGGGAAGGACTTTTTACAAGGGCTTCTAGTGACAGGATGAAGGGCAATGGCTTCAAACTGGAAGAAGAGAAGTTTAGATTAGAAATTAGAAAGTTCTTCACTAGGAGGTTGGTGAGACACTGGCACAGGCTGCCCAGGGAAGCTGTGGATGCTCCATCACTGGAGGTGTTCCAGACCAGCTTGGATGGGGCTTGGAGCAACCTGGTCTAGTGGGAGGTGTCCCTGCCCATGGCAAGAGGATTGGAACTACATGATCTTTAAGATCCTTTCCAACCCAAACTATTTTGTAATTCTATGATTCTTTTTCTTGTAAGCTAAGAACATTTGTTTTCTTATGAACTCATCTCAAAATGACACCTATAGGATGTTAGAAAGTTAAATCATCAATGCAAGACTCAAATAGAACACTACTCTCAAACTGAAGAGAAAATTTTCAGAGAAGAAAAGCTGCTGAAGTGGAAAGAAGTCATTTACAGACATCCCATAATTTTTAAGGGAGAGTTCAGCAATCATAACTCTAATGTACTGAAACTTTAACAGTGAGCTTGGAAGCATAGCAAAAAGATGACCTTACAAAGGCATGATTCATTCTAAAACTGTGCCAGGAAAAATCAAGTTTTAAAGTTTAACAGCAAAAATGGCAGATATTTTATATGAGAAATGGAGAAACACAAGGAATTCCTCAGGGGAAGCATCACCAGTGACCTGGTTGTTTGAAACAAAACAACCAAAAAAACCCTAAAACAAGCACAAACCTCCTTGAGTGCAGCAAGATTTTTCTTCCTTCCTTCCCCCCCCATTAAGGTCATTAATACAGTGAGAAGTACACTTCAGGAGAGACCAGAATTTCAGCTGGCTTAGAGAAAATACCCATTCTTTATTTTCTTATCAATTTAATTTGAAGGGAAACATGAAATGATTTCTTCCCCTGACATGTGCAACTTGAGAGAGACACCAAAGCCATATGCAAATTATTTTGTTTCAAGAAGTAACTGCATACTTTATTTCTGGAGACAGATTTTATATTTGTAGGTGTCTAGATAAGAGATTTTAGACACATCTCTCCCTCTATAAAGGCACACACAGACACACATATCTCATATTAAAAACCAGAAAATACATCTTTAAACTCGCTATGAATATTGAGCCTGCAGCTACAATGAAACTCTTCTGTGAGGAGGGGTGAAACAGTCTCCAGATGAAAGTAGATTTTGAAAAATTTTTAGAGCCCAGGGGTTCATTTTTAATGAGCCGTTACTTTAAGTACTGCATAAAAAATAGAAGAAATTGATAGTCCATTTAGCCTGCACTATACCTAATGCAAAAGTCATTAAGATGCATTATTCTTAATGTTTATGATATGATCAGTAAGTGTACAAGACTTTTTTTTTTTAAAAAAGTCAGGCACGTCCATATATCTCATGTGATACAGATTTTAAACACCTACACTTAATGCAGGAATATTATACTGTGAACTTAATACAGGAATATTATCCTGTGGATACTGCAGCTTATGGTAATGCTTTGATACGTGCAAAAGAAACCCACAAACCAACCCCAAACCATGAAAAATAACAGCACTGGTTATACTATACCTACATAGGACAGCATGGCTTTCATTTCTTCATCACTTCTGACAGTGATCCGATCACCATCCTCATCTTCATCTAACAAAGAAATGGACAAAGTTCATCAGCAGAGGAAGAAGGGTATTTACAATTTTAATGTGTTTTAAAGGTTTTAAGCTGGACTTTTATAAGCATATAAATTATGAAGAAGGTAAAAGCCAACTACACAGGCAACCATGTACCCTGAAACAGTACAATGACTCCCAATATTAATTAATGAAGACTACAAATACAACTAAAAAAAGGGGCATGAACAAAGGGCTCAAAACTTTGCTCTCAACAGGTTTTTTTTACTGCCACAAGCTCTCCAGAAGCCAAGTGCTCTACATGTGCTATGCTACCCTCCCCTGAAACCCACCAAAACATTCTTCTGGCACAGCAAACAAAGTGAAGCTCCTCAGTGTGCCTCAAACCTCTCAGGAGGAGTTAAGTTTTGGCAGTTTCTTTCACCAGGATGACTAGAAATGTAAAATGTTAAATCCCTCTCCTCCCACTACAACATTCTGGTCTTACAGCCAACCCTCCCCCAACTGACCTGCCCTGTGCCAAGTTCCTCCTGGCCCCCTGCCCCACCCCAGTTACACAAGCACAGGCACCTCCACTCCTCATGGCACAGCAATGCTGACTGAAAAAAGGGAACTTCCAGGCAGACACAAATCCACAACGTTTACAGAGACAGGTTTAGATGAAGACAGAAGCAAAACCAGCCTGTGTCTTTGTTATTAGTGCAGCTGTGGGTGAAGAGGCAGGAGCAGCATCACCAGCACCTTGGTTACATGATGACAGCTCCAGCACAGCCACCAACACATGGACAAGGGAGAAGCTGCTGTGGCAACAGAGCCAGGAGAATGGGAGTGAGATGTTGAGGGGCTCCAGCAGAGCAAGGCGTCCAGAAAATAGGAAGACCTGAAGGAGGAACAGACTTTCCAAAGACATATGGTGGGATTCAGCAGGTGTGGATATAGCAGGGAGCTCAATCCCCCCCATTAGCACCAGGCAGTGCCACAACACACTCCACTGTCACAAGCAGCTCTTGCTGAGACTCCCTGTGTGGTTCCTTCACCCCAATGACAGCAGCATCCACCCCATCCTCCTGAACAGCTCATACACCTTCAATAGGAGAGCTGCACCATCAGACCAAACAGACCCCTCCATGTCAGATACAAATTGTTCATTTCTTTTTATTGCTCCAGCTTTGGGGGAGGAAGGAGAGGTTAATTATCCATCTCCAATTTTTTATTGCCTACTGCAATGTAAATGTCTTCCTTACATACTTGTTAAAAAACCAAAAGCACAGCACACTGGTGTGTAGCCCAGCTTGACATTTGTTTGCTCCCCATTGGACAGGGAGCTCTCTAAAAATAAAACATCCAGCTGATACCACAGAAATGCTGACAAAGTCACCAGTCTTTTTGGCCAGAAGACACCTATTGTGGGGAATCTCAAGTACATGGAACCATTTCAGTTGGGATATTTAAAAGGCCTGAGGCACACAACTATTCCTGAAAGCTGATGACCCTTGTCAGCAGTTCTCAGTGACAGGAGAAGGAGCAACAGGCACCAACTGGAACCCAGGAGGTGCCACCTGAGCAGGAGGAGAAACTTCTTTGGTGTGAGGGTGCAGAGCCTGGAGCAGCTGCCCAGAGAGGCTGTGGAGTCTCCTGCTCTGGAGAGATCCCAAACCCTCCTGGCTGTGACCCTGGGCACCCTGCTGTGGGTGAGCTGCTGGAGCAGGGGCGTGGGACGAGGTGTTGGAAAGGACCTCTGGAGATGATCCTGTTATTTCAAACACATATTAAATACCTAAGTGTGAGGATGTGGAGATGATCCTGTGCACTTCCACAGCTTCAGGACCAGAGGAGGTTTGCTCCTCACCAGCTCAGGATGCCAGCAGAGGGCTGGGGCAGTCTGTCCATCTGTCCCCATCTGTGCAAACCTGCTCTCTGCAATCACAGCCTGTGGACTACATCCACATAAAGCAGTGCCATAGAATCCCTACATGAAAACTCACTCTTGCTCCTAGTTATGCACAAGAACAAAGAGAGTCACCAACACTTAAAGCAGCCTGTCAGAAAGCTGGGGACAGACTCTGGAGCAGGGCCTGTTGGGACAGGACAAGGGAGGGTGGTTTTAAACTCAGAGAGGGAGATTCAGACTAGAGAGGAGGATGTTTTTTACACATCCTGAGGGTGGTGAGCCCCTGTCCCAGGCTGCCCAGAGAGGTGGTCACTGCCCCATCCCTGGAACCATCCCAGGTGAGGTTGGACCAAGCTCTGAGCACCCTGCTCTAGCTGCAGATGTCCCTGCTCCCTGCAGGGGGGCTGGACTGGGTGACCTTGAAAGGTCCCTTCCACCCCAAAACATTCTCTGATTCTGTGAAATTAGGAGTACTCAAGAAAGGTGTTTGTTAACTTTGTCTCTGAAAACCTAGCAGGTAATTCTGAGGCCATAAGGAACAGAGCAAAACAGTGCAGAAGAGAGCAGAACAACAGGAGAGAAATAATAACAAAAAAAGTAACAAACCCCTTGGAATTATAGGACCATGGAAACACGGAAGCTGGAAGAGGAACTAGGTAGCACAACAAAATCCTACAGGAGCCTTGTCTCATGGAAATTTTAACTGGTGAACTGCCAGACTGCTGAAACTCCATGCTAGGGCTACCAGCCTGCAGCCAGTCATGAATGATGGAAAGATTAAGAAGAGTTAGTGAGTTGAAACTGAACGCTTCCTTGCCTGAAACATTTTTGGCAGAAAGGAGGAGGAGCTGTAAAACTGCTACCTGGCTGAAGCCCAAGCCCCAGTCACAGTGTGTAACGGAGTAAGAAAAGCTGAAGAAGCAGCTGCTGGGAGAGTGAACACAACCAACACCACGCATCAACAAGGGGGGATCAGAGGAAAATGCAGAAGAGGGGAAACATATGACAGAGAGAGATGAATATACAGAGATAAAAGCTGTTAAAGAAGCCTGGCTTGAGGGAACAGACTGAGCTGGGACTATCAAAAAAAGAAAGAGGTGGAAAACTCTTAGCTCCCACTTGCAGAATGGTTATAAAAAATAAAGTCACACATTATTCATTTGCAAATGATTAAAAGTTTAACTCCAAAGTTCTCAGAACTGCAAAATTCCTGATGGTGTACAAACCAAATTAATTAAAAATATGTTAATGAAAAGGCAGAAAATGTTACCCAGCATTAAAAAAGCCAAATCTACAAGCATTACCTGGATATCTTAAAGAGCAAAACATGAAGAAAAATCAACCTCCTATTGGTGCAGAGATCCTTTGCCACCCTGCCATGACACTGAAGTGGGCACATCCCCAACGCCAGCCAGATATGACACGGGCTCAGAAAGATTTCCAGGCTTCTCTGCTTGCCTAGAGCACAGCAATATGATTTTCCACCACATTAGGGAAGCAAAAGTAGAACCAAAAAAATCCTACGCGCTGGCTGGATTTTGCTAATGTCACTTAAAATGGAGGAAGAAATCCTCACAAGATACCAAATAGAGTGCAGCAGATGGTAAACAAATATTATGAAGCAATCTTCCCAAAATCTGCAGCGTGTCACAAATATACAAAATGGCAGAGTTTGGATAAAAGGATTGTAATAGGCCATATGTTGGTACTGGGTTTATCTGTGGAGATGTGCAATCCACGTGAAGGTCCAACAGTAGGAGAAGTGCAGCCCCAGGTAGGAGCTGCAACGGATGGGACGCTGTAGATAATAACTAAACCAAGAGTAGAGGAGCCTGTGCTGGATGGCAATTATCCCCATCTGAAGCAGCAATGAAGCAGGAGAGAATGAAGCTTAAGCTGGGAAAATCCAGGGGTTTGATATGGAAAAAGGAAGCAGGAAAAAAAAAAATCACACATCGCTATAGATAACATATTTTAGATGCCAGTTAAATGGCAGGGGAAATGGTTTTGTGCAGATGTAAATGACAGACTAGAGACATGAACCGAAAGCACAGAAGCAGATGTTAGAAGACACAATGAAATAAGTATTTCCAGGAAAGTTCTGCACGTGGTATCATTAATATGGGCTACTGCCCTGATCGCAGCGGCTGCTGCTGGTGCATGAAGTTCAAAGGCAGCTAATGGGTGACGTGGGAAGTATGGGAAAGGAAATTTATTAGCAAATCATAAAAAGAAACAGCAAGGTCTGGAGCCTGCCTTTGCTCAGGTCTCTGTAGAAAGTCTTCTTTTAAAAAGCAAGGCAGGAGAAACGTTGAAGCTACAGAGAAATAACACAACCTCCATTCTTAGGTTTCTGGCGTTTCAGGAGGGGAAAACACAAACATACAAAAACAAAGATAAAAAGCACTAAACAGTACTTTAAGTACCATAAAACAGTATTTCCTTGGATTATCTACACGCAGAATTATCCATAAAGCTCCAAGAAGGGGAGACATGCTAAGAAGAATGCAAGGCCCTGTCTCTTACCTTCAGCACCATGATCTTACTCACAACACTTCTAATCCCCTCTGGCTCCTTCTTGCTATTTCACCTCTCAAAGGTAAACACAGAGGTGCATAGAAAAGAAAATATAATGAAAGGGAATAGCAGGAGCCCTCCCCACTTGGAAGGAAACTTTATCTCAGTATCTTATCCCCTAAGACACAGATGTCTGACTCCCCTTTGCAGCTTATTGATCTCCAGATAAGACACAATCCTGCAGGAATTGCTCCAAAAATAAACAGGACTCAAAGAACAGAGCAGAAAGATATTAGCAGCTATAGGTCTAAATCTGCACTAATACTCACTGAAAGCTCTCCTAACTCAGCAGAAGCACCTTCACAAGGTACAAATACCATTATGTACAACCCCAACCTACAGATAGCTCAGATTCCACACAGAAGTGATTTTGTTCCCAGCTTTTTGGTCTCAGCCAGACCCACAGAGCCTTTTAGAAGTTACTGTTCTTGCCCAGGTCTCACCAGGTGCCACCATCCTGCAGCTCCCCATCCCTCCTCCAGGAGCTGAAGCTGAATAACTGCCTACACCTCCTGCTCTCAGAGAAGCTGCTGTATTTAACTTGAGGAAAACTAAACCCACAGCACTTCTTCCAGAAAAAAAACCCAGACTTTTATTCCCCCATTAATTCCAAATGCTGCTATATTTGGTACAAAATCTGTAGGTTGCATCATACTTCTGTAAAAGCTACTGCTCTTGTGGTTCCTTCCAATGGAGGATTAAAATCTTAAACTTAGACCTACAGGTACTTTATACTTTTCATTTAATTCAAGCAATATAATTGCAGTGAGGAGTAAGAGCATGGTAAGGTCATGTTGGTAATTAAAGCTATATTGTAGAAATATGCTCACTCCAGATGTGATTAAATAATATTGTTTGGTTCAGGATCATCATTAAACTTGCATTAATGCATAAATATTTATAACATATCACAAATGTAAACATTACAGGGCTGTCATTTTAAAAATCAATACAGTGACAAAAGAGACAGTTTATCCAAGTCATACTTACACTCAAATGCTGTTGTTGTTGTGTCTGGCAAAACCTGACCGATGACATCCTAAAAGGTAAAGAACAATTACTCTACATCAGATGGGAAATGCCCCAGATGGTTTAGACTAAGTCATCTTAATCACTCCCCAGGTTAAAGACTTCAGGACCTGCTACCTCACCACTGCCCACAAATTCCCAACTTTTTGGCACACAAGAGGAATCAGTACAAATCGTGGTGCTCCTCTCCTTCCTCTCCACATTTCCTTAAGGAAAACTCTTTTCTTTTCAAATAACTCCATCATAATGGCAAACAAGTCAGTGTTGTTCCTGCAGCTGAAAGAACTGATTTTGTCTGTAGGTATCTAACGTCAGTCATAAAAACAGAGGTTTGTGAATGGCTTTAACTGCAGAAAGCACATTTTCTCTCTCAGTCCTTCTGCCTACATCACCCTGATTATAGAATCGTTAAGGTTGGAAAAGACCTCCAAGTTCAAGTTCAGCTGTCAACCCAATGCTCCCACAACCATGTCCCAAAGTGCCACATCCACATGCTTTTTGAACCCCTCCAGGGCTGGGGACTCCAGGACCCTCCTGGGCAGTCTGGGCCAAGGCCTCACCACTCTGCCAGGAGAGAAATTCTTCCTAATATCCAACTGAAACCTCCCCTGGGGCAACTTCAGCCTGTTTCCTCTTGTCCTATCTCTGGTTAGTTGGGAGAAGAGACCAACCCCCACCTCACTCCAACCTCCTGTCAGTGAGTTGTAGAGAGCCAGAAGGTCTCCCCTGAGCCCCCTCTTCTCCAGACCTGGGACTCCCCAGGTCCCTCAGCTGCTCCTCACAAGCCATGTGGACCTCCCCGGGCCCCCCAGCTCCTCCTCACAAGCCATGTTCCCCAGACCCCTCAACAGCTTTGTTGCCCTTCTCTGGACCCTCTCCATCCCCCTCAAGGTCTTTCTTATTCTGTGGCACCCCAAACTGACCCCAGTGCTCAGCTGTGGCCTCCCCAGTGCCCAGTCCAGGGGCACAATCACTCCCCTGCTCCTGCTGGATTCCTCCTCTCCACCTCCAACCCACTGCCCTGGTCCTGCCTCCCACAAGCCCCTCATCCCACAGCTCATCCCCAGCCCTGTTTGGCAGAGAACAGCTCCAGATGTTTTTTTCAGGCTGCTATCATGAATTCAGACAGAGCTCTGAGACTGAAGGAATTTTTGCTGCTTTGAGCCCACAAGTGCCCAGGGAAGTGGCAGGACCCTCGAGCTGCCTGCTCTGCCCCACCACGCAGCGCCGCAGCTCGAGACGCTCCCCTCTCCACACGTGGAGCATTTGGAGGGCTCTTTGTCATCCCTAACTGGAATTTAAACTTCTCCAAAACTTCAGATTCAGATACATGGGCAGGCTCCAGCCTGGGTGCTGCGACCACTCCCCACAGCCCCTTTGCTGGGGGTGTACAACTCTCCCAGTCCAGCCCATCACAAAACACATCAAGCACTTCCACGTGCTGCACATCCCTGAGCCAAACCAGCAGCTTTTGCTAACAGAAGCCTCTCCTGTACAACTAAACCCAGAGCAGGAGAGATGGAGTTTTACTTCTGAAACCTTTACATAGAGCATTCCCTCAAAATTTAGTGAAAAATAGCTCCTCAGACTGAAGTCATCCTGGCCTCCCAGCTCAGGTGCTGCTGTCATCCCCTGTCCCAAAGCTCTGGCAATCACTGTCCTGTTGCTTTTGTTTTCTCTATTTTCATTTCATTTAGTCCCAAACCAGGAAATCAAACATTCTGTGCACTATTTCAGAGATACAACTAACACAGTGAGAATGCAGCAAAAGCAACCTAAAGATTTCCACAGAGCTCACCAAAGCAAATAGTATTTCTAAAACTTCCTCGTGCTGCCTTTTCATTTCAGATGCTAAAATAGTCCTATGTGATCTAAAACATTAATTGTATATCACGTATGTGCAACACAGCTTAATTACATAGATTGTGAATTTGTGGACCCAAAATAACCCCCAAAACATCAACATGTTAAGAAAAATTCTTCCATTTAAATACTTATTCCAGCATTCAACAGCTCTGTCAAAACCCAGCCAAGCTGTACCCTCTGCTCCCAGCAAGAAATTAAAGCCCTGCCTAAACAGAACACTGCACTGGTAACTAATTCTTTCCAAATCCATTTAATGAAACATTGAAAATTCCTCAGCAAACACACTTCAACTGTGTTAGATTTAAGCCACTTGGACAATATTCTTATGTGGGCACACAGATGCTTCCATGAAATGGATTTTAAAATTGTCATCAGGAAAGGACCCCAGCTCAGGGGGGTCTACATAAACTAAATAAACAGTTTTAAAGAAACTGTTACCAACAGCCACAAAAACTTTGCTCTGGTTGACTTTCAGTATTTCTACTAAATCCAAACCCAGCCTTGCAGGGAGTGGGAGAGGAGGAAATGACACCGTTGCTCCATTGTTACTGTGCTGTTTCCATCAGCTCCACAAGACCTCCATGCCCAAGCACTCAGCAGACCTCTCAGTGACCCAAGCTTAAAGGATTACTTCAAATTTCAGCAGATTACCTGAGTGTGATGATTTTCTACTACCAGAACAGAGATCACAAACAATAAACCACTCCAACTTGTAGACTTTGAGTGGGCTCATGAACAACAGCTGCTATTTTATCTTATTAAACCAAAAAGACTAACAGTGAGGTGAAAAAATGAGAGGGAAACAGCTGAAACAAGAACTCTACCACCAAATCTGCTCAACAGAAGAGCTATGGAGCATTAATCTGTTGGGTGAGAAAGCAGAAAGCACAAAAGTCCTGCTTTAAAGGACCCTGGAAATTGTGAAACCACTCCTGCTGCAGTTAAAACTTGTTTTATCTCAGTATGAGATCATGAGGTTATCCTGAATTAACACCAAGTGCTTAAACACCTCGGTGACAGCCAGGGCAAACGAATCTAGACAGCCTGATGAAAAAAAATAAGCTTACTGTAATTCATTTAGGGGTGTCTTTAAAATAAATCTGTTTACTGGTAACTTGCAGGTCTGCAAAGCTGATACACACAGAAGACATTCAAAGTGACATTATGAAGAGCAGCTCTTAGCACCCAGTTTAGGAAAATAATGAAGCAAATGACCTGAAACAGCCAAGCAATGCTGCTTCTGTGGGTCAAGCACCATCCTGCTCTTCAATGTGCCACCAACCTGCAGGTATCAAGTTTTTTTGGTTTGTGTATCATCTACACAGTTTAGTAGCTGTAAAATCTCCTCCAATAGATGGAATTAGAGCAGTTGAAAATTAAGAAATGGGTCATTTAGTGTGTAAGGCATCACACTGAGTGTCAGGCTCCTGACTCCAACAGGTATGGCCATGGACAGGGTGTTTGATGACTCTGCACCACAGCTTCTTTGAAAAAAGAAGATGGAAGTGATCTTGCATGCCAGTCTGAAAGCTGCAAGGCTACACTTTTGTTTTCACAAGGCCACTCACACTTCTAGGATGCTAAATAAACAAAAAAAAATGTGTAAAAAAAACCCTGTCAGCTCTCAAAGATAATTTCATGGGCTTTCTTCATACAAAACAGACCATTGGACCTACCTTAGAAGGCCACCAGCCTTACTGCAGAGCTAATCCAAGGCTCCCCCAAAGCCTCAAGCTCCCACTGATGCTGGAGATTTGGGGGTAGGCACCTGTTTTTTGGAACTGGCTAGTGAACATGCTTCTGCAGTTCAGGGGAAGGTGGTACCTCCCATCACACCGTGGGGGCTGCAGCTACATGGTGCATCCTTGGGTCTTCAGCTGAGAGAGGCGTGGACAAGAAGGGAAGCAGTGGGGTCTGGCTGGGTCATTACACTCAGTAATTCACCTGAGTAGAGGATGCCTCAGTTCTCCACACTAGTTTTAATGGTTACTCTAATATATATGCCCTGTGTAATTGCCTACAGAAGGCCAACAGAAGAGAGGGTCAGCCCTGCTCCTGCCCTCCCCACCGCACTCAGGGCTCCTCCCCAGCCACAAGCCACACCAGATCCACCACACTTCAGTGTATGGAGCCTTATTTCATTTAATTTATCTGGCATGTGCAGAAATTAAGCACATGTGGGTGCTGTGATGGCACCTCCTGAAATACAGACACATGACAGAATCATTTTGGTCAGAAGAGACCTTTCACAGACACATGACAGAATCATTTCGGTCAGAAGAGACCTTTCAGAGCCTCAAGTCCAACCATCCCCCAGCAGTGCCAGGTCCCCATTGCCCCGTGTCCCTCACACCACATCTCCAGGGCTTGGAAACCCCTCCAGGGGTGGGGACTCCACCACTGCCCTGGGCAACCCTCCAGGGCAAGAAATTGTTCCTCAGGTCCAGCCTAAATCTCCCCTTGGGCAACCTGAGGCCATTTCCTCTTGTCTTATTCCTTGCTACATGGCAGCGTGGCCACCCACCTGGTGTAGTGCTCTGCTGTGCTAAATGAAGCAACCACAGGTTTATATCACAGCCCCTCTGCTCTGAGTTGTTATGCCTACTCTATGACAGATCCCCTTCAAAGCAGCCTCCTAAAACAGGGAAAAACAAAGCCCTGAGATGTGCCAAGCTGAAGATGTACCTGACATCCTCCTCCCTTATCCTTTCACTTCTTTCACACTGAAGAGTGGCCACAGCAATCAGGAAGCATCACCTCCAGGTGACTGGAGGTTACTGCAGGTGTTGATGACTTCGGGTGTTCCTCAAGGTCCCAGGCTGTCCATTGACCAAAATGACTCTTAAAAGCCCATCAGAGGCCAAGGGCTCTGTCAGGCTCACAGCAAGCTAGAGGCAATTACTCAAACTCCTCACAGCAGAGCATCTCACTAGAGCTGAGTTCAGTACTTTGCCCTAATACAGTAATAAATCAGTGGAGGTAAAGTCTCTCAGAGCTACTTCAACAACCACACTACTCTACTTGTGTGTATCCAGGGAGACCTTATTGCTGCCTTCCCCTATCTGGAGGGGGCCTACAAGAAAGCTGCAGGGGGGGTGGATAAGATATGGTCTGACCACCAGGTCACAGCTCTGCTACCTGAAG